ATCTTAATAACCAGTCAAGCACTAGAACATAACATTAGGAAAAATTGGTTGCTGCTGTAAATGATTAGTGTTGCTGGAAATCATTACTGCTGATGGAAACAACAGCTCCCTGTTGGAAATGCTACATTAGCCTGTGATATAATCAAGGCTTATTTACTGTAGCACCCCCTGAAACTTTGGTCAAATCTCACTTTACCCCCCGAAAGTTAAAATGGCCCACTTAACCCCCTTGACCAAGGTTTTGTGTTCCACTTTGCCCCTACCGTTATCTCCATTCATAACTCCGTCAATTTTGATGATGTGGCAGGGGTATTTTTGTTTTTTTCCCACAAGGGATGATGTGTCATGTGCAGACTCCACTTCTTTTTCTTTTTTTTTTTGGCTTAAAGTGAACTAAAATATTAATAAATAAAAAAATTATTTACTTCTTTAATTAAAAAATTGAAAAATTAATATCAAAAACTTATCTTCTTCTTCATCTGTCTCTTTTCCCTAGCAACCATCGCATACCAACCCCTCCTACTCCCCACTGCCATCTCCTATATCCCTCCACCATATAAACCACCATACCCACATATATCCAAACATCAAAACTTATCATCTAAATCACCATACCCATTATGGGTGGTTCACTGCTAAATGGAGGCATTTAAGATTGGGATAGTTTTATGGCAGTGGTCCTTGGAAATGGTTAATGGAGAGATTGAAATATTCAAGTTGGCCTAGATTGGTAAATACATGTTCTAGTATTTGGCCAGCAAAGAAATTTCCAGACAAGTCCAGGAACATCAAGTTCCCACATTCATATATTAATTTTCGCCAGATCCAAACCCATTGTTGATGGACGCCGTGTTTTTAGGGGTAGACTAAGGGTTTGGGTTGATGGGTTGTGCTGGGAAAGAGTAGGCAGGTTCAGAATAAGGGGCTAAGGAAGGGGGAGGTCGTGGCAGGGTGGGTGACTGTGTGGATGTCGGGACTAGGCTTGGGAGAAGAGAGAGAGAGAGAGGTGGGGGTTGTCTTGAGAAGTTGTGTGGTGGGAGGGTAGTAGGGGTTGGTTGTTGGGTGGGTGATGTTGGGTAGGGTTGGAGTGGTGGTGGTGAGGGTGGCTTTGGGTTAGGTGGTGGTTGTAGTCTGATAGTGTGAAGCTAGGGGAAGGGGAGGGAACGACAGTGAGAGAGAGAGAGATGGAGAAGAAGAGATTTTTTTTAATATTAATTTTTTTTCCTTTTTTTTTATAAATATTAACAAGTAATTACATTATTTAATTATTTTTATTAATATTTTAGTCCACTTAAGCAGAAAAAGTGGGGCATACATCTGACACATCATCACTTGTAGTAAAAAGACTAAAATAGTCACGCCATGTCATCAAAATTGACGGAGTTATTAATGTACATAACGGTAGGGGGCAAACTAGAACACCAAATCTTGGTCAAGGGGGTTAAGTGGGCCATTTTAACTTTCGGGGGGTAAAGTGAGATTTGACCAAAGTTTCAGGGGGTACTACAGTAAATAAGACTATAATCAATGAATCTGTGTCACTCGTTCATAATTCAGCATAAACTACCCATTGTACATGGTAAAAGTCATTGCTTCTTCACAAAACTCAAAATTTGATACTTTATCAAATGTCTATGAAAATTTCCAAATAGGGAGAAGACATGTAAAATTAACATGTGTCCAAATTTCATGCAAGAAGTAAACCAACCAAATTTCCATTTCAATTAGCAGTGGACAAAGTAAGAGCTTATCAGTGGACATGAACAAACAAATAAAATAAAACTACATATAGAAAACTTAACCTGATCATTAGCCTTCATAACAACCGGTCTTTGTATAATACAAACATAAATCATTCGGTAGGTCCGTGCATCCTGTAAAATTCGTCGAATAATGGGTCACTGAGATCTATTGGAGTTGATTCCTCATTGTTTGACGGTGATGTCCTGCATAAACACCAAACACAAGCACATAAAAAATTTAACTATTCAAATTTTAGGTGTTATTATAAATAGTTTTAACATCTTACGGTGTGTTCAAATTTCTTGGGCATTGTCTTCTATCATGACCAATGTCTCCACACTCCCGACAGTGTCGAATCCCTCGCTTCATTGGCTTTTCCTTTGCTCCCGTTACTTGTTTCCACCTTCCTTTGCACCTTACTCTCTTAGGGTCTTTCATATATTGTGTTTGAGAGCTAGACCCTCCAACTTCGTTATTACTTGGTCCATCCTTCAACAACTTCAACTTCACCCGCAAAATTTTTAGAGTCTCTGACACTAGCTCACATCCTTCTTCACACATTAATGCATCCTCAACCACATCTGAAACAAGTCGGGACATTGTACTCCGCTTTATTAAAAGACCAGGATCTGCAGAGTCTTTAATTTCGTTGCCATTGACACCAATCCAGCTTTCGTAG